ATAAGTTCTATTTGCTATCCGTGATCGTTGCTGCATTATATGTTGGTGTAATGTATATTTTCAGATGTAACTTTGTCACTCTTTCTTATTATTAATCTGAGTAAACCTACGTTAAAACCGAAGAGAAGTTTTACTTTAATCACTGATATATCCTCGGGAGAATCTTTGTAGTATTTTCGAAAACAGTATTATTGCTTTAACGACACTGCATTTCAAAGGAGTGACAACAAATTATTGACTGAGGAACTAGAATGAACATATCAGAAGGTTTGTTTGTTTGTTTGTTTGAAATTAAGCACAAAGCTACACAATGGGCTATCTGTGCTCTGCCCACCACGAGTATCGAAACCCGGATTCTAGCGTTGTAAGTCCGCAGACATACCGCTGTGCTACTGGGGGGGCTATCAGAAGGTTCGTTTGTTTGTAGTTAAGCACAACGCTGCACAATGGGCTATCTGTGTCTGCCCACCAAAGGTATCGAAACCCGGCTTCTAGCGTTGTAAGTTCGCAGACATACCGCTGTGCCACTGGGGAGCGAATATCAGAAGGAGATATGGAATGTTTGCAAGGGACAACGTCCTAGTGAGGGATACAAAGTTAGAAGCCCCCCCCCCCCTACTGTTTGAAACGTTTTAAGGAGAAAATATTACATTTCCTGACACAAAAACTTATGCCTGTTGAAATAGTGGACTTTGTTTTCCTGCGCTATAAAAATTGTAAGAAAATTTACTCTCAGGCTCTAATGCTCAGAAATGGTGACCTTAATTCCCTTTGGTTTATTAATTATCATTGTTAGTTCGAAAGTTAAAATAATTTGAAGTGAAACGTGTTACATTTCTTTTCCCATTTAGTCTGTGATTCACGAAGAAAATACTATTGGTTCAAGGTAGCCGTTTACTATTCTCCCTCTCACCTCTCATCTTTTCATAACTGTTGGAGTGTGGGGACAGATTTGTTACCCATTTACTATTTTAGAAGTAGTTGCCCCATATACCTCCTTTTTGTTTTCATATCTCTGTGTGTATCATACAAACCAGTGTATTTTTGTTTTCAGATCTCTGTATGTATCGTACGAACCAGTGCATTTGGCATAGTTTAAAATTATTCTTTTTTTAAAATACTCAATACAAAGATATACAAAAAATGCTTGATGTGATTCGTCATATTCACATCTCTTACTGACGATGTTTTCATAAGATCTAACTAGTATGCTGTGCTTTTTTGTAGCCTACAGTCGATAAAAGTATTTTCAAATTACTTGTATCTCATATAGGAAGTATAATTTAGATAATACCTAAATTGTTCCTCGAATTGAGGCGCTTGCAAAGGGTGCCTTATAAAAAAATAAGCATACTGTGGTAATTTGTGTTGTTAAAAAAGTGCTTTCCTTCGTCCTTTAGTTCATTTGCTAGAGCATTACGCCTTAGATATTTGTCTAGTGTGTGAGAGGTCCCGGGTTCCAACCCTAGGCGAGAAAATATATATATATATATATACGAAAAAAGGAATTATATCACTGTGATACTTTAATATTTTTCAAGCTGATCTGAATGGTGAAAGAAAACGAAGTTTGATACACGTTTTCAAAGTTTATCCTCTTTGGTTTTAAGTATATCAATTATACACGCACCTTTAATTTCCGAATTATTTTGTATGTATTCTAAATACCTCAATAGTATCGCATTAAACCAAGAGTTCTTATCGCTTTATTAAACGTCCCTCTTTCAAATTGACGATATTGTTTATAAATATCTAGCTTCTTATTTGATTTCATTTTTTGCATTGGGTCACAAACTTTAATCTGACTTACAGTGCTATCAGGCTTATTGCGATGAAATATTATGCATATATTAATACTAAATGTTATGCTCTGTCTGCCAGCTAAGGCGTTCTGCACTATAATCATTAAACGTTTCTCATAAACGACTAATATAAATAGAATTTCATCTAAGGCTTTGTATATAGTAACCTAGTCTGCTTGAGAGTTCTGGTATTAAACGAAAAACCGCGTCGGTATCAATATCCAACAAACAAGGTATATTTGCAACGGTACTATACTAGAAACCAATATTAGACCAATAGAAATGGTGTGATTTAGACTGTTATCAGTTAGTGTGATTATGGGAACAATTTCATGGCTGATTCTCCCATTTTTGAGTAACGTTATTGTGTTCTAAGTAAGTATTATTGTCATTGACGTTTCCATATTTAAAAAATGCCGTCATGTTTAAAAACATTCATTGCTGTTACATTTTTTGTTGGGTGGTTTCTTTTGGATTATTCGGCAAAAAGAAAATGTGAAATCTGGTTAGTTCAACGATAACGAAGGCGTGTTCTTGATTCAACTATAAATTTCACAAACTAACTCAACTAATGTTCACTGATTGTAGACACTCTTACGAGAATTTCATTTACTCGCTAATTTTTCGCGTCTTATGCAAGATACGTCGCATTTCTTATTACTTCCTTGTGAACTTAAACCTAACATTCCAAAACTGAACTAACTAGACTTGACTAAGAACTCATTTAAATAACAAGTTACTACTACAGACTCCTTTAATATTTAGCTATTAGTATGCAAAACATAAACACGATCGTATAAAAATACATGTCTTATGCATATTAATTAATATGTAATTCTTGTTTCGTTATTGTAATATAATTTAAGAGGAGCTACAGCTGATTGCAATCTATAGTGATAAACCTAAGTTTCTTAAATCGATAAAAATGTCACGTTGAGATAGTAAAACAGAAAATAGTTAATTATTTGAATAGTAAATAAACCGTTAATCATGCCCTAACATATAAGAAGGTTGTTGTTATTTTTGTCTGCGTTGGTAGAGAATTTGTAAATTTTACATTCAGTATTTGTAGCTTTAAAAAAAGATGAAAATATGTGATATATTCAGACCTTAGAGTAAGTATAATACGAATACATAAATTGTTAAAACATTTAAGACGATTCAAGTAATCCAGTAAACCAGGTTGTTTTTTTTTTTGTTTTTGAATTTCGCGCTAGCCCTCGTGTAGCTTTGAGTTGGCGGTGGGTGGTGATGACTAGCTGCCTTCCCTCTAGTCTTACACTGCTAAATTAGGGACGGCTAGCGCAGATTTGGGCTACTCTTTTACCAACGAATAGTGGGTTTGACCGTCACATTATAACGCCCCCACGGCTGAAAGGGCGAGCATGTTTGGTGGGATGCGGATTCGAACCCGCGACCCTCAGATTGTGAGTCGAGCGCCTTATCCACCTGGCCATGCCGGGCACTATTCTTATGTTTAGTTCCGTTAATGTCTTGTATATATATATATATATTGCTTTTTTTTGCTGGGTATACAACCTGATTTATGCCCGGCATGGCCAGGTGGATAAGGCGCTCGACTCACAATCTGAGGGTCGCGGGTTCGAATCCGCATCCCACCAAACATGCTCGCCCTTTCAGCCGTGGGGGCGTTATAATGTGACGGTCAAACCAATTCGTTGGTAAAAGAGT